TTTAATTGTCTTCCCGAAAACAGGGATTTTATTTGTGAGATAAACCTAAAGGTTTAAACATGTTGTCAGTGCTTTGAATGGCTGTGTTAAAGTTTATATTTCTGCGTATGCACAGGATTATCTGTCACTTTATTCATAAAAAGAAATAGCGGTTTACAAAAAGTACATAGAAAAAAATATTCTTGTTGATTAATGCCAGCTTACAGAGCACTGACATTTAAAAAGGTGTTGAAAACAGTGATTTCATTGGCTGTTTTCTCAAACTGCAGGCACCAACTGTCTTCGGTTTGGTTTTATGAAGATGAACGCTCCTGAACGCCATGTTGAAATGAATATTAAAGCAAGAAAGCGACTCTAATTTGCTGTTATTAACAGGGAATTTGGAAGAGTGGAACGGAGAGCAGCGGAAACACTGCAGTATTTACACTTCATTACTGTCAAAATGTGTCTGCACTGCTGTCTCAAACAATTACTGTGACAAGCTTCAAACGATGAAACAAGGTCTGCAGAGATTAACAAAACTTTTAAGCTTGAGCCTCATGCAGGATTAACTTGCAGTCATCAAAATAACACCTAAATAAACAGCAGAAATGCAAATGATACGGCTCTGAACACTCCAAACAGAAAAACAAGTTTCCCCAGAGGACGGCAAGTCCAATCGGTCAAAAAAAAAGCAGATAATAACAGAGGCATCACTCATGGTAATTTCATTAAATTATGTAGAATTATTAGTTTAATTTAAAGTAAATCCAGTATTCATGTAAATTTATATTTTGCATAATGAACTTGCTAGATTGTGAACCTCTGTTCCACATTCAATGTGTGATTTTCATTGCCAAAACACAGAATTTCCATTGCTCTTTTCAAATTAAAATTGGATTTGATGGGACACTATGTCAGTAGTCATAGATTTGTGGGACAAAAAGCATCAGGTGGGGTTTGCTCCAACCGTGTTGCCACCGTCGGCTGTTTGCTGAAATACATCAAACGCTCCTGTTGTTTGAAATAAAGTCAACTTTTGCTCGGGTTGTTGCAGATTTTTTCAGATGTGTCATTTGTCACCACCTGTTAGGCACTACACTGGTAATATGGCCATTTCTGAATGCCACATGGAAACAAATCCACTAGGTTCTGCAAACTTGGTGTGTGAAGATGACACATCTGTTACAATCACTGATCTCTAGGGGTTTCCTCCTCTTCTATTTCATATCTACCACAGGTGAGATGTGCCAGCCACTGCAAGAGCTTACTTTCAAAGTGCCGAGTCTCTTTTACCAGAGCCTTGATCTGCAGTCATCCTGTCTGTTGTGTACACTTTTGCAGCCTATTGTGAATAGTTCTGTGTGAGCAATTTAAAGCAGATATTCCAAAAGAGAAGTTTATTTTATTATTATTCACAGCACTGGTAGGGGTTCTCTGTCATTTTTGTTCCAGTCCCTTTTTCTCAGTTTTGTGGATAACCACTGAGCTCAGTTTTTGTATTTTTCTTTTTACCTCTATTTACTGGTATTTCATTTCAAAGTTGGAAGAGGGACTTTTGCTTATTTTGGCCTTGGAGTACCTGAAGCTTAAAACTTCCCTGTGTTGATTCTTTTTTTCTCCTGTATTTGATTTTTGCCTGAAATATAAACTTTTATTTCAACCGTTGAGTGGTAAATAGCTTTTATTTAGATAATTTCAGCAACTCTCATAAGCAATATCTACTGACTTTCAGAGTGTTTTAGATGTAAATGAACATCCAGTACATCCAGATTTCTCAATTTTGTGCAGGAGTCGGCTAAAACAGTTTTGCTTCAAACTGATTACGCTCAAAGGTTACAAAAGCATGTAGGAAGACTTAATTTCTTTAAAGTGTTTGCATGGTGGAAGTTTGCTAGAAAACAAAATGGTGACAAGATCTAAACGATTTGTAATCAACCCAGCTGCAGAACCTGGGTCTGCATTTACGGTTGAATGAGCGTTAGATATTTTTCTAAGAACTCTGAACTGCATTTATGTCTCCCTTGTTCAAAATCTAAAATATTTGAGAAGATTTAACTTTAGCTGAGACATTTCAGAGTGAACAGATTTATTAAAATTAATCCCAAACTGCATTAAAGTGCAATTTCGGATTCTATTTTATGATTAATTTGGTAAATAATTATCCAACCACTTGAAGGCACTCAAAACTCTTTTCTCTCTCTCTAGAAGGATAGTTGAACTTTAAATATGGGGAAATCTACAATGAGACAGTGACATCAAAGCACAGTAGATTACTGTGAATTCATCCCAGTACAAAAATCACTATTCAGAACAGAGATGCATCAAAAGCAAAACATACTTCAAAGATGTGAGAGGACATCATTTTACTGACCATGTTTATAACCAACTGACATGGTTTTCAGCATCTAAAGTTCGCTAAATACTGTCTGAGGAAGCTGTAGCCAAAATGTGGAAATGTTCAACATAGGAAATGATTGCAAGAACGTTAGAGTTGTGAAGTTAAAGTTTGCCTTTAGTAATTACTTCAAGTGAACGTATTGCACCTCACCTAAGGTGTCCATGTTTTGTTATATTAAATTAGTCTATATAAGTACATGTGTATGGTAAACTTCTTGTCAGTAAATTGGCTTTCATAGAGTTAAGAATAAATCATATATTTTATATAATTTGCTTGGACCTGAGGGGTTTGTAATCAAAAGAAAAAAAGCAGTAAAATGTTCAGCCGCAGAACTCTGCCATCTAAAATAAGAGGGTTTGAGGCGACATTTACGCTAAATGAATGTAACAACTGTTGAATAGTGAACAATAAAACCTCCTAAAACTTGATGCTTCTTTACCTATTTTGTAACAGTGTAGTGGGTTTGCAAAAGGGAATACAGTTATAACTGCATGCGTAAAATCTGCTTTTTACCAACTTATGCTTTTCCATGTAACCTCATCAAATCGGGTTGTACTTTCTCACATTTGTGACACTATAAGTAGATATTCTATTATACTTGCAATAGTTTAGCTTAATGGATGATTGATTACATTTTTCTACTAAGGAAATTTATTTAAAATCTTGTTTTGATAAGTACCTTGATTATATAGGTTTAATTTTGTGTGAAATTACTAAGAATATTGTGTGTGAAATTACTGTCAGACATTGTTCTGATAAGTACCCAAAATTATAAGCTTTATTTTGTAATAATTTACGAAGGATCTTGTACTTGGTTTCATTGTGTTATGCACTAAATGCAAGTTTCATACAAAACAGATAAAAACTTTAGAAGAATTATATACATATTTTCCATATGGGTAGCAGACATAGGAACATAAGAAACTGAGTGACATCAGTATCTTACAGTTATGGAGGTTTAGTTGTTAATGATCCCAAAATAATCCCTGTTGTTCTTAGAAAATGGTGGGTGGAAACTTTATTGACAAAGGAGCCTCCACATATTAACCACTTCAGGAAGACTTTAAAGATATTCAAACCCTCACCTCATCAATGCTATTGTAATCAGGACTTCAGAAGACCGTCACAGATAAAGTGTCAGCATCGCTTCCTGCACTAAGCCGGATTCCTCGGACCGTTATGATTCTCACTTTGATTATCTGGAGTGAACCTCGCTCTGGTTCATCACGGGCCCAGACTGCTGAGGATTCCTTAATGTGACGCCCAGCAAATTGATAACTCTAATCTTGCTGGAAGGAGAATCCTATTAACTGAGCTGTGCCCTCTCTCATGGGACCATTCCCTCTTTATGCTTTGATCATTTCAGATGGAGCTTTTAAACTGAACCGGGGCAGGGAGGGAGGGAACGTTCTGTGCACAATCTAAAATATATTACAGTTTCATTACCAAGATACATTCAAGGTAAAAGGAAAGTACTGACTCTTTTAATTCCGAAGGTTTTACAGTTCTTTCGCAATGTATAAAGATCAGTGGTAAGTTACATTTTCTTTTAGTCTATGGAATATTCTTTAGGCCTCAAATCTGTGTGAATTACAATTTTACATCACTGTGGGAGTGTTTAGGCGACTGATCGACTTAACCACATTTACATGTGTTCTGATGTTCCTCATGTAAGAAAATCTGTAGAATATTATCTGAGGAAAACTTTGTGTCAAAAAGTATATGTCGGGGTGCTGTGGTGGTGCAGGGGCAAAGCACAACCCACGTATTGAGGCCTTGGTCCTCATGGCGGTGGTCGCAGGTTCGATTCCCGGCCTGGTGACATGTGTTGCATGTCTTCCCCCTCTCATTGCCCTCTTCCCTGTCAAACTACTTTCAAATAAAGGCCACTAGAGCCAACAAAACCTTAAAAAAAAGTATATGTCAAGCACTTGACAACTAAAAAGGTACATTGTGAAATTATAACCTGACCTCCATCTTCTAACAATTACGCTAGAGTGGATCGCAGAGCCAACAGCTAAAGCAGAGATGTTTACATCTCATTTTAAATGTATATAAACTTATTAACATGCCAGGCTTTAATGTAAAGCAAATAAAATATATATATTTTTTTTTTCATTTTGAAATATCTGTGTTCATCTTTAGCTCTCTATCAGATTCAAGTCACGATTCCACCATTACGCCACTAAAATGCTTCCATACAAAAGTACCATCTTACTTTTAACAAAAACCTTCCAGGGGTAAGATAATGTAAATCCTCTGAAGTAATGCTTGGGGGATTCAGTTTCATCAATCGGTCTCAAGTTTATGCCTGCTGTCACAACAGGGAATCTGATCACTATAAACAGGGTCAGGAGTACTCCAGACGTCCAGGGCTGCTATATTTCAAGTTCTAGATGTAGGCGTTTGGCAGCATGTCATAACTGAATTATGTGATATGACCACAAATGCAATCATGCTGTTATGTTTTTCACCTTCGCTGATTTTACGTTTTTGATCAGTTGTGCAAAACCACGTCACATTCTAGATGAAAAATATTTAGATTTTTGTTTTATTTTTTTTTAAATCATGCTCCCACTTTCCTACATCATAAAAATAAAAATGTGGCATTTTGACTTACTGGAAGACTTTTGAGAACCGCTCTACCTTCTCCACATCATATTGCTGGTGATGGACTTGGAGAAAAACAATAATCCCCTTAGCTGGTCCTCTGTCTTCTGCAAAAAAAAAAAAAAAAAATGGCCCAATGGAAACGTAACCATACAAAAAAACAAAAAAACACGACCCTCAACCATAATCCTTTAATGCAGAGAAGGCGGGCAAACCCTGACCTCCTCCTGAATTGCTGAGCTACATAGTGGTTTCCTGAAGGTTAACCCTGCTGTTTGCAGCTTGTCTGCGAGTTCAGCAGCTTGTTTTTCACATTTAAATTTTTAATACATTACACATAGGTCATGACTGTAGGTAAGAAAAGAAACAGCTCGTCAGCGTTCAGTAACAGTTTGTATTATAATCTCAATTTCACCTTGTCCACCTTGTGACGGAAGAGCCGTCACGACCTGGGACGGCCCTACAGTAAAGGTACGAGCCCAGAGGCGCAAAAAGTGGGTATGCAGCGTATGCAACGCATAGGGGCGCAGCACCAGAGGGGGCGCCAAAACCCCGTCTGGAGGGGGCGACGCGCCGATTATGTTTTCCCATACAGTTCAGGGCGCCTCACGCTCCTTCACCTCTCGCACATAACGAGGTACATGTAGCGAGTTTTACACTCCACGTAGCGTGGGTGGGGGTGGGGGGGGGCGCCGATTTATGTTTTCGCATCCACCTGAATAATGTGCAGTTGCGCCACTGTACGAGCCGACATGCAAGCGCGCACGCAAACACGCGCACATGCGGCATATCTTACCTTGTGGTTTCAGCACAAACTGGCGCGTTTCCTCGTGGATGCACACGCGGAGTTCCTGTCTCAGTTGTCATATTCATCCCAGCTTGTGATTTTCAGTGTCAAACATTTTCCCGGTTCAGATGTTCAAACAAAGCTGTTTCCGGATTAAAGCGCACCGGGAGGGAGACGCGTGATGACGTAATGACGTCATGCTAATTGAGCGTTTTCTCTTAAATTGAGTATTGTATTTTTGGTCACAGGCTTCTTTTTTTCAGTGTTATGATTACTTCATTTATTTTGTATACATTGATAAGAGTTTACTTTAATTAGAAGTAATTGTTTTCCTTTGTTTTGTTTTTTATTGTTGTTTTTTTGTTGTTGTTTTGTTTTCAATTATTGTGGGTGGAACCTGTGGCAATAAAACTTTTTTCACCTGAAGATAAGCACAGTAAACACCATCTAAACTAAACGGCATTGGCCTATCCTATCTTTTTTTTTTTTTTTGTCCAAGTCATAACAGAGCCCTGACACACGCCCTTTTTTATCTGGAAAACATGGCTTCAGACCCTGAGGTGCCAGTCTTCATCATAGTCAATTCAAACATATCTTGAAACCACTTGGTTTCTGCTCAGGGTTCCTGCTCAATGAACAACCCTGGAGGGGAGGGCTCCACCGTCTGTTTTTTTTTTTTTTTTTTAATAAGTGAAATCCAAAGCCTTGAATCGAAAGTCCTTTAAGTTGAAACTCCTTGCAGAAAAATTGAGGACAAAATCTTTTAAAAGGGACAAGCCATGGATGACTCAAAGAATCTCTAGAAACAAGTCTTTCTTTCTTTGAATTGCAAAAGCTATGAGCTCTTTGTCATGATGTACAGACACCAAGTGAGATTTAGTTCAGGGTCCATAACCTCATTCTATCTTCTCTATCATATAATTTTTATTACAAGAAACTTCAGAGCAAACTAAAATGTAGAAAAATCTGTATTCTGCTTTCACATCATTCACTCACAATGGTTCTTTTTGCTGCACAAAGTTGCTCTTCGGAGAAACCAAAATGTTATCAAACCTGTCCAAAAACTTTTTCATACGAGTTGAAAAAAAATATACTGGCATTTTCACAAGAAGCAGAAATTCAAAGTTCGGGAAGAAGCCAAAAATTTCCTTGGATACTGTTTTCTGATGTGATGTCCTGCTGGGATGTGGACACGCTGCAGGTCCCGCAGCATGTTGTGACAGAGTCGGCCAACTGTCAGATAACAAGATTAGTTGCATTTGTCGAAATCTAATACACAATCAATACTTCTATAGGAATCAGAGCACTGAAATGACCTTAGGTCGACTTGCCTTAAGAGCAACAATCAAGACATTTATCAAAATGGATTTTCTGCACAAATCTCAATACAATTAGGAAGAAAAAGCAGCCCATCTAATCACAGGAGTAGACTGATCTTTGAATGCTAAATTTACAGACTAATAAATTTCCACGGATGGTACTACATAATCTACATTTCCACACAGAGTATCTCCTGTCTCAGTGATGTTATAATAGTTATGATATTCCGACGCATGCATCAGACCTGTAACAGGCAAAGCTCTGTTCCTAAAGTAGAAAAATGAGTCTTTTATTGAACGGGCAGCAGCAGCTTCTCCCACTTTATCATGGCTGACAGCTTGTCGCCGCTTCATGATAAAGGATCAGCCAGCTCATGCAGCCTCGCCGTGTTACCACTGACCTCCATGTTCCTCGGCCGCCTTTGCTGAGGCAGCCTGCCACACCAGCCCTAGACAAATGGAGGCGTCCTGCAGGTCATCGACGGACAAGGTGGAAGCAGAGCACTACGAGGAGAAAGAAGTATTTAAGACACTGGCAAACTTTAAATAACAATTCAGGCACCACAATAAAAATAAATTGTGTTCCTACAGTTTCAGTTTCTCTTCACAGGCTCTCTGTTACTTCCCAAATAGAATTTAAAATGAGTTTTCTTGCCTTTAATGTCCTGAATGACCATGTTCCATATTGTATTAACCATATATGTTTTTTCTCTATTTTGCCACATTGATTTTTGATTTCAGACCACAGGACTTGTGGTTCCCAGGTTGAGTGAGAGGGGAAAAAAAAGATTATGTTTATGAGACTTAGCTTTCAGTGGAAGATTTCAGTTGTTTAAGAGATGATTCACTAAGAAAACATTTAATTTAAAATGCATTTGACACTGTAGCTTCACAATTTGATCACCAAATAAAACAGGCTGCTGCCGACATTTAGAGCATATACAGGAAATAAGTTCTGTTTATTAATATAATACTGAATAGTACTGTACCTGGACATGATGCATCAGAACACTGAGTTGCTCACCAATTATCCTGAGATACATTCACTCTTAAAACTTAAAGCTCATCAAAAGTGACACAAACTTCAAAAACTGCAGGACTTGATGTTCCACAAAATTCCTCTGCTATTCTCAGCTGTAGACCCACCGGTGTTTTTCCACCATAGGAAAAGTTTTAGTAAAATGTTCAGCAAAGACAACTTATTGGATGTTATACAGTCATTTCCCAACAATTTGAAGGTTAGTTTTTTTTAAAAAAAAAAAAAAAAAAAAAAAAAATCACAAGTTGAACTCATTTAAGAAAACTACCAAAGATCAGACTTTGTAAGGAAACAAAGCTAAGAACTTCATGTCTATGCGCCTTAGCATCTTTAATGCATGTTAAAAGTTCAGGTCAGGTTCAGAAAGAGACTGAACAGGTATTGCTTTTTTGAATTCTTCTTAAATTAATCCACTATTTGGCCATAATGCAGAGCACAGTGTTAGAGAAAAACCCAACAACATGTCAGCATAACACCTCAAATCTGTATTCTATAGCTGATTAAATTTGGGCCGGTTCCACAACCACAGGACTTGGGAAGTTTGCCATTTTTAAATCAAACACAAACTCCTCTGTTTTATAATCAGATGTGAGGGCATCTGTCCAACATGTGAAGCTTGGTCCAAACCGCTTAATCCAAATTTATGACGGCTTTACAAGCTCTTGAATCATGTGGGGTGCTTAGAGTTTTCAATCAGTGTAGTTAGATTGTTTGTGCTATTGTCAATTCACGCTTGGGTGTTAAAAAAAAAGAAAAAAAAGAATGCTCTTTCATGACAAAGATTATTCTTTTTTTTTTGCATACAAATTTCCCTGTTTTTTGGTTGGTTGCTCAGCTCAGGTTTCTGAGGCTGGAGGCGTAAAAACACTACCCTGCAGGAGTTTCTGCACCCCCTGCTGTTTGATGCTTCTGATTTGTTTTATTTACTTGACATTTTGAGTTCTTAACAAAGGTTTGACAGGCTTTACGGTGGGTCACTGAGCACACACTGTTGTGGAAGAAATCTGACTTTTTCATCCTGATAGCTGAGTTCTTGTTTATTATGCGACTGTCAGAATGAAGGCATGTAAAACTCCCTGTGCTGCTGAGCATGAGGACCGAATGAGTCAGGAATTCAACCGTTGGCTCAAACTGACTCCACTTCCAGTCTTTTTTACTCAGGTTGAAAGAGCAGCGGTTTACATTCAACTGATTTACACTGCACATGCAGCTACATCCTGCTACAGTCATAAGACAAATACCTCTTCACAAACAAACATATTAATGAGGAGATGTAAAAGCTGATCCTGTTTGTGCTTCATCTCTTATTAATCCCATGGATTCGGGGATGTTTCTGACAGCTTGTTTTGGTGAGCTGAGTTTTATTCCTCGCGTGTTGTATAATTTCTTTCAGATTTACAACCCTGGGTGGAATTAAAACAAAGTTATGTGATTAATTTATCTTGTAGCATACCTTTCCATAGAAAATAATTGTTCTAATTCAGCTCAAGCACATACTTCAAAAATAATAGCTTCTTTATCTTTGTGAGGCTCGTTCAGCTGACCTGCCGCTCACGAACTCTGTGGGCAATTAATTAATTAGAAGTGTACGAGTTTAACACGGAGCTCATTTTATCTATAATTAGAAGTCCTTTTCCGGAAACATCCACCGAGTCCGACAGACACATCCGTTCCTCTTTGTTGTCAGTAAGTGACAAAGATAAAAAAGACGGGAACAGGATGTGGAGAGCCTTTCAGCAGAGGATGTAACAGTCACTAAATTATGATGACTTATTTGGGTTCATGTCATTTCATCATTTAGAGTTGAATTAGTTTCAGGTTGCTTTTGGCTGCTCTCTCATGTTCATGCTTCATCACTGACAGAACTGGAAGATGCCAGCCATCTGTTAGAGACTAACGATCTATACACTTTGCTTTGGTGCTATAGATGTTTGATTCTGCATTGCGACAGATTCCAACTGGATTTTGGTCCTGACTTGGACTGGTCCCTTTTAAAACATGAATGAAAATCATATCAGCCTGATCCCATCCCAACTTTGCAAGCTGAACTTTGTATCCGAGTTTAAACATGCTTTCTGCTGGCTCCACTGGCAGTGAAGGTCTTTCACATCGGATCCCGCTGCAAGGAAACAGAACGCTAATAACGCGGTAGCATTTCAGGAAAGAAGAAACCGCAGACCATTTATAACCTCGAGGTTACTGCGTTTCTGTGAGCTGCATAGTTTGAGTTGAATCAGATTCCTGTTAATATTTACATGTGCAAGAGGACATAGATGTGTGAAAAGCCGCTGAAGGCTGCAGCCGCAATAAATCATGATAAAGATATCTGTCTTGCATGACTCCCTTTGTTTGCCATTTGAGGTGAAAGTGTCAAGATCATTTCAGTTTGAGTCCCTGCCCTTGGAGAACATAGCAGCATTCAATAAATTATAGCAATGTTTCTTTGTTCTTATTCATAAATCTTGAGAGCTTTCCATGTGTGTATATATAGTCCCTCAGCTTTGACACATTTTAATAAGCCACAGTAGCCTGGGAGCGAGTGACCTCTTCTTTGCTTTGTCCACATCTTGTAGCTAATTCCTTTGCGGTGGTGGGTGGAGAGGAAAAGGTCACCGGCACCTCGCTAACGGCCATCCAGCTTCTCTCTAGACGCCTTTGTGCTGACGTGCCGCATGTGTACAACTTCCTGCTGCTTTGTTCTCAGGGGAAAGGCCTCCTGTTGGGTCAGTGGAACCAAAGAAAGTCTGCTGAGGCAAAAAAAGATTAAAAAAAATACTTCGCTACTAAGATGTTGCATGGCTTATTTCCACGAGCGTCTCCCTGCTGAATA